CCACCGTCCCCAGCTGAAAAGAAGTCAAAAGCTTCATATCCCTCATTGCCCCCAGCTGAAAAGAAGTTAAACCTTGAGGAGTTGATGACCAAATTCATTCAAACTTCAGAATCTCAGTTTCAATTCACCGAGACTGTACTAAGAAATCAACAAGCCTCTATCCATAATTTAGAAAATCAGTTGGGTCAAATTTCTAGACTCTTCTAAGAAAGACCCAAAGGAAGCTGGCCTGACAATACTGAGACTAATCCTAAGGAGCACGTCAATGCAGTAACATTAAGGAGTGGCAAAATGTTACAAGAGAATGGGAAGCAAGAAGTAGAAAAAGCTGCAATTGAAGAGGAAGATAAAAGTCAAGAAGAGACTGTGGAAAAGCCCTCTATAGTGAAGGAATTCATACCTCCACTTCCCTGTAATGCCCCAAGAAATGTAATATTGTTTGAGTATATAAATATGTATATATATATATATATATTTATTTATTTATCATTCTATGGTGTATTGATTGACTTGATGATGATATAAGCGTACCTTAGTTTGATGGGAATGTGTGTGTGAACAGATATATGTAAATACACACATATATATATATATATGTGTGTGTGTGTGTGTGTGTGTGATTGGAATTTGGATTGAAAGAAATAGGTTAAGTTCTGATGCAGAGCATTCTTGCTGTAGTGAGAGGCCCCTAGGAGAAAGGCATGCAACTGTCGCCTTCTCGCTGTAGCGAGAAACGTCTCGCTGTAGCAACAGAGTGACAGTTTATGGTGCATTTTTTGGTGCAGTCTCGCTGTAGCGATAGGGTCTCACTATAGCAAGATTCTGCAGAAACCAGAGTGCAGTTTTCTCTGATTTTTTCGCTGTAGTAAGAGGGCGTGTTGCTGCAGCGAGGGGTCACTGCAACGAGGGGAGGTCCCCTCGCTGCAGCGAGAATATCTCGCTGTAGCAAGAGTGTCGCGACCAGAGGGGTATTTGAAGGGTTAGGGTTCGAGGGGAGGGTTATTTTTCATGATTTCCCTCTCTCTCCTTCATGATTCTCTCTACCTAAACCCATTCCTACTGATTAAAAACCTTCCAAGGAAGTTTGGAAGCTTGATTGAAGGTTGGAAATACATTTGGAGTCTTTGGGGGGACGAAATCCGTGTGGGGAGGCGATTCCATCAACGTTTCGTGTCGCGTTTTTGTTTTTGAGTTAAGGGGAGTACTTTACTCTAGTTATCTTTGTTAAGAATGAGTTTATTTGAATGAATATAGTACTGTGATAGAAATAGGAGACGAGGTTATGTGTATTGATGAATTATATGAATTGGGCTAAATCCAGAGGTGTCCGACCTCTAACATATTGTGTGAAATTGAGTGATGTGGTTGTGTTGGTTGCCATTGGGTGCAAGGAAATGATGTGTGTATGATAGAAATGTGATTGTGAATATGTTAAGCATAATGTTGAACTACTATTTGAATGAAAACCTCAATTTTGTTAACAATTTTACGAAATTCATTTTATTTAGAAATTATAATTATAAGGTGTTACAATTTGATATCAGAGCATTTCATCCAACCAAACTGGGGTATCGGGCTGAAGCGTCCAAGATAAGTGTTGATTGTTTTGTTTACCTGAATTATAAATGTTATAATTAATCTAATGTTATGGAATATTGTTTGTTGATTGTGATTAGCTTAGATAAAGCATGGCTAGTAGAGGTAGAGGTAGAGGTAGAGGAGCTAGAAACACTGAGGATCCTATGGAGCACATAGCTCAAATGCTGGAGGCCTTGGTGCACAACCAAGGTAGAGAACCAGCGGAGTATAGAGGGTTGTCTGCCTTCACTAGGCATGACCCCCCAATGTTTGAAGGAGGGTTTAACCCTGAAGGAGCCCAGAGGTGGGTGGCTAATGTGGAGAAAGTATTCAATGCTATGGGGTGTCGTGAGGAGCACAAGGTCCCCTATGCCACCTACTTGTTGTGTGGGGAGGCTGAAGATTGGTGGAGATTTGCTAGTCAGACCTTGCCACAAGAAGATGGCTACGTACAGTGGGAGGCTTTCAAGACCATCTTCTTGGGAAATTACTTTCCCTGAGACCTGAAGAAACAAAAAGCCAGGGAGTTCCTTAAGCTGAGATAGGGGAGCATGACCGTGGGGGAGTATGCGGCAAAGTTTCAAGAGTTAATGAAGTATTGGCCCCACTACCAGCACAGGGATGGAGAAGAAGACCTGTGTTCTCTGTTTGAGCACGGGCTGAGGCCGGACATCAGAGCTGCAGTCAATGTATTTCAGCTGACGGACTTATCCACCTTGGTGAGTAAGAGTAGAATTTTCTAGGCCAACTCAGAGGACAAGACTGTGGACACTAGGGGGAGTGGACCCTAAACCCTAAACCCTAAACCCTAAGGAAATTTCTTGTTGAGTTACCCTAAACCCTAAACCCCAATTCAAAGAAATAATATCTTCTACCAAGACATTCACTGGGGAAGCGGAAGCCCTTTTGAAGGAAGTTATTCAAGAACAGATGGAACTCTTTTTACTCCAAGAACAAGTAGAAAAAAATTGATTAATAACTAACCAATTTTCTAATTATTATCTTTTAAAATCTTTTCTTTTAATTTGAATATAATTAATAATATTATATTAATTCGAATATAAAATAAATAATAAAATAATAAGAAATTCATGATTATTAAAGATTTATATATAGAAAGGGATAAAGCATAAATTGTATATATATATAAGATAAGTTATTCTTCTAAAGAAAGTTTTAGTGGCTCTTGCTCAGTTCAAATCATTCAAGATATTCTATTTTTAGAAATACGGAAATAAAAGGAAATATATAGGCAAATTATTTGCGTCCAATAGGATTTGAACCTATACCTAAGGTTTAGAAGACCTCTGTCCTATCCATTAGACAATGGACGCTTCTCTTTTTTTCTTTAACCTTTTTTAAACTAAGGTTTAAAAAAAGGTTAAAGAAAAAAAGAATTCTATCTATCTATCTATAGATAGATATAGATAGATAGAATAAAAAAAAAATAGAATAATAAATAAATAATCAAATTCAATTGAATATAAATAACGAAAACTAAGTTAAAAAAGAAAAATGAATAATTAACAAATTCACTAAGAAATTTAGATTCATTCTAGAATAGAAAAAAGATAGATTCGAATAGAATAAATAGAGAGATAGGATATAAGCGGGTAGCGGGAATCGAACCCGCATCGTTAGCTTGGAAGGCTAGGGGTTATAGTCGACGTTGATTCATCATTATGATTTAACGTCTCTAATTCAAAGCCGAACGAAACAAAATATATATATAATTATATTGATATAAATTATACATATATACATTACATAATACAATATTCTAAAAATGAAAATTAGAATTCAAAAAAAAAAGCAAAAATTAAATTTATTTTTTTAAAGAAAGAACAAAATGTTTGTTATGCTTAATATCCTTAGTTTGGTCTGTATTTGTATTCACTCCGTCCTTTATTCAAGTAGTTTTTTCTTGGCGAAATTGCCTGAAGCCTACGCTTTTTTGAATCCAATTGTAGATATTATGCCAGTAATACCCGTACTCTTTTTTCTCTTAGCTTTTGTTTGGCAAGCTGCTGTAAGTTTTCGATGAGATCCTTAATTTGAATAATGTCCTAAAAAAATTCATTCAGAATTTATTCGAAAACAAAAATTCGAACATTTTGAACCATTTTTAAGATCAGATAAGTAAAATTCCATCGTTAAGTGATAAATGGGAAATTCATGGAAAGTTAGAATCACTACCGCGTAATAGTGCACCTATACGTCTTCATCGACGTTGTTTTTCGACCGGAAGACCGAGAGCTAATTATCGAGACTTTGGGTTATCTGGACATATACTTCGTGAAATGGTTCATGTATGTTTGTTGCCAGAATATGGTAAAGTAGCTCCGGGGTGGGGAACTACTCCTTTGATGGGTGTTGCAATGGCTCTATTTGCGATATTTCTATCTATTATTTTGGAGATTTATAATTCGTCCATTTTACTGGACGGAATTTCTATGAATTAGATTCACAAGAATCAAGTAACTAGCTTTTCAATAGAAAACTAAGGTTAAGCATTTAGGTTTTTTATCGTTAGCCTATTTCATTTTGCTAGGTATTTGACCAAATAGGATCGTCCAGTTCCTATAGAACCTATCACTAAAATACCCCTAGGGGGGGTAGGGCTAAGCGGAGCGAAAAGGGTTTTCCATGAGATGGGAAATGAAAACTATTAGCCCCCCACAAGGTTTGTGAATAAGTAATTGTCTGATAATGAGCAAGGAATATCCGTCTTTCTGCTAAACAGGATGTATTGAACTCATAATGCATTAGATACTTTTTTTAGTAAGTAATGAACAAGTAAGACATAAATTCTTTAGTTTCAATCTTTCTGGTAAAAAAGAAGGAAGGATTCCTGATTATTCAATATTGAATCAAATCATATGTATGGATTATTGTCATTTTACACATCTTGCTATTTTCCATGACACTTCGGATTTATTAGCAAAGAGGCGAAGAAATAGATTCATCATTCCATTTCCATTCCAATCGATTCAAGAACGAGACAAAGAACTAATGTCCCCTTCCGGTATCTCGATTGAAATACCAATCAATGGTATTTTTCGTAGAAATAGTATTCTTGCTTATTTCGATGATCCTCAATACCGAACGCAGAGTTCAGGAATTACAAAATATAGGACTATAGGAATAAATTCCATTTTTAAAAAAGAGGATTTTTTAATTGAGTATCAAGGAGTTAAAGAATTTAAGCCAAAATACCAAATCAAAGTAGATCGATTTTTTTTCATTCCCGAGGAAGTGCATATTTTACCCGAATCTTCTTCCATAATGATACGGAACAATAGTATCGTGGGAGGATACTGAATTTTTTTTTTTTTTAATGTGTCAGAGGGTATCTCCAAAGTAGATGCCGGTTGATAGAATAATCCTTGACCGTAATTGCTAGTATAAGTACTGCATCCAACATGAAACTTGTGATTAGAAGACCCCCTAAATTTTCGAAGGGACCGTATTCAAGCTCAAGCAAGTCTCACTCTAGAGGAAGTTCATCCCAAAAGAAAAGTAGTAGTGGGAGTGGTTCTGGTACTAGCTCTTTCAGAGGGCCGATTAAATATTTCCGGTGTGGAGGGCCACACATGCTGAGGGATTGTCCACATCCAAGGACGAACTGCGGAAATTGTGGAAAGCTGGGGCATACCGCCAATGTGTGCTGGTCTCCAAAGAAGAGTGGCAGTACAAGCTCAGCTCAGAGACCTAAATCCAGAGGGAGTACTGGGCCGAGCACTGGACCAAAGCCGAGCATATCAGGGCGAGTCTTTGCCATGAGCAGGGCAGAGGCATCACAATCAGAAGAGCTGATCTGAGGTAAATGCACTATTAAGGGTCAGTTGTTGGATGTGTTGTTTGACTCATGTGCTACGCACTCCTTTATTTCTGTGGATTATGTGAAGAGTTTGAATTTATATATTACTGAATTGCCGTGTAACATTGTGGTGACTACCCTTACGGGTAAATCAGTTGTGATGTCGAGGGTATGCTTGGGATGTGCAATCATGGTGCATGGTAGGGAGTTTGAGGTAGACTTGATTTGTTTACCTCTTTCTCAGTTAGATGTAATTTTGGGGATGGATTGGCTAGCTGCCAACCATGTGTTATTGGACTGTAGAGAAAAGACGTTGATCTTTGGTGCATCAATGTTAGAAGTTTCGAGACTTTTGAACCGTGGAGCATGGGAAAATGCGATGGAGGCCAAGGCCTTCATGGTTATGTTTTCAATGGAGGCCTAGAGTGCAGTGGAACCGAAGTGTATACTGGTAGTGAGGGAGTTCTTGGAAGTGTTTCCAGAAGATGTTTCTGAGTTACCGCCCAAAAGAGAGATAAAGTTTACTATTGATCTCATTCCGGGAGCAAGTCCAATGTTTGTGGCACCTTATAGGATGTCACCGGTTTGTGCGACCAAGTGTATCACCATGGGGAGCGCCAGTACTATTGGTGAAGAAGAAAGACAGAAGTATGAGGATGTGTGTAGACTATCAGCAGTTAAACAAGGTCACAATTAAAAACAAGTACCCACTGCCAAGGATTGACGATTTGATGGACCAGTACTTGGTGATGCTGTTTGGAGTGACCAATGCGCCTGGAATGTTCATGGACTACATGAACAGAATATTCCATGAGTTTTTGGATAAATTTGTGGTGGTATTCATTGACGACATCCTAATTTATTCTAAGATTCGGGAAGAGCATGCTGAACATCTAAGGATTGTTTTGCAAATCCTGAAGGAGAGACAGTTGTACGTAAAGTTTTCCAAGTGCGAGTTTTGGTTAACAAAGATTCAGTTTCTGGGACACATAGTGTTAAAGGAAGGAACAAGAGTGGACCCTGCAAAGGTGGAAGCAGTAGTCGATTGGCCGAGACCGACGAATGTAACTGAGGTCCGTAGTTTTCTGGGGTTGGCAGGCTATTACAGAAAGTTCATTGAGGAGTTTTCTAAGATAGCTCTGCCCCTAACGAAGCTGACCCATAAAGAGAAGCAGTTTAAGTGGACTAGGGGGTGCGAGGCTAGCTTCTTAGAGCTGAAGATAAGGTTGACGTCGGCGCCGGTGTTAGCCCTGCCCGACCCAGAACGGAAGTTTGACGTATACTGTGACGCATCAGGACATGGACTTGGATGTGTCTTGATGCAGGACAGGCGAGTTGTTGCCTATGTCTCAAGACAGTTACGTCCGCACGAAGTTAATTATTCAACTCACGACTTAGAGTTAGCCGCGGTGGTATTTGCTCCCAAGGTGTGGAGGCATTATCTTTATGGAGCAAGGTTTGAGGTGTTCAGCGACCACAAGAGCCTGAAGTATCTATTTGATCAGAGGGAATTGAACATGAGGCAGAGGAGGTGGATGGAATTTCTCAAAGACTACGACTTCACGTTGTCTTACCATCCCGACAAGGCAAATGTGGTGGCTGATGCTTTGAGTAGAAAATCACTGCACGTGGCAGCAATGATGGTGAAGGAGGTGGAGTTGATTGAGAAATTTTGGGATATGAATCTGGCTATGGAAGTGAGACCAAGGAGCTTGTATCTCGGGACAATGACGATTCATAATGACCTTCTAGTGTACGTCTGGGAGGCTCAGCAGGGAGATGCTTTCCTGCAAAACGTGATGAGGCAAAAGGGTGAAGGTAAAAACTTGGAGTTCCACTGTGATGGGAATAGAGTGATTAAGTTTCGAAATCGAGTGTGCATTACCCAAGTGGATGAACTAAAGCAAATAATACTTGACGAGGCGCATCCTGCTGCGACAAAAATGTATCAGAACCTCTGGAAGAGTTTTTGGTGGAATGGAATGAAGAGAGATGTGGCTGAATACGTAGCTAATGTTTAACTTGCCAGAAAGTGAAGGTAGAACACCAGCGTCCACCTGGATTGATGCAACCGTTGGAGATCCCTGAGTGGAAATGGGATAGCATTTCTATGGATTTTGTTTCTGGGTTGCCGAGGACCAGAAACAACCATGATGCCATTTGGGTGGTAGTGGACCGGTTGACTAAGGCCGCGCACTTTCTTCCAATCAATATGAAGTACAAATTGGAACGACTTGCAGAACTGTACGTGAGGGAGATAGTCAGGCTGCATGGAGTACCGACTAGTATTGTGTCGGATAGAGATCTGAGGTTTACCTCGAGATTTTGGGAGAGCCTACAGAGGGCGTTAGGCATTAAGTTGAAGCTCAGTTCGGCGTATCATCCGCAAACTGACGGCCAAACCGAGCAGACTATCCAGTCTCTAGAAGATTTGCTGAGAGCTTGTGTGCTTGAACAACAAGGGACTTGGGAGGAATGTTTACCATTAGTGGAGTTCACATATAATAACAGTTATCATGCCAGTATTGGGATGACACCGTTCGAGGCTTTGTATGGGTGAAGGTGCAGAACTCCATTATGTTGGTATGAGGAAGGAGAGGCTACTCTATGTACACCAGATATGATCCAAAAACAGAATGAACATATCAAAATGATCAAAGAGAAAATGAAGGCTGCACAGGATAGGCAAAAGAGTTACTATGATAAGAGGAGGAAACCCTTGGAGTTCTAGGTGGGTGACCACGTATTTTTGAAGGTCTCACCTATGACGGGAGTTGGGAAAGCTCTGAAATCTTGGAAGCTATCTCCTAAATTCATTGGGCCATTCGAAGTGCTAAGTAGAATTGGTCCTGCAGTGTACCAGATAGCATTGCCTTCGAACCTCTCAAATCTACCTCCGGTGTTCCACGTGTCACAACTCAGGCAGTATGTGCTGGATCCTTCTCACGTGATTAATCTCGACCCAGTTCAAGTGAGGCAGGATTTGTCATATGAGGTGTACCCAGTGAGGATTGCAGATCATCGTATTAACCAACTGAGGGGCAAGGAGATCTCATTGGTAAAGGTGATATGGAACTCAAGTGACGAAGGAGATGCCACACGGGAGGCAAAGAGTCGAATGAGAGAGTTCTATCCACACTTGTTTATGTAGTTTGGTTAAATTTCGGGGACAAAATTCCTTAAAGGAGAAGAGAGTTGTAACGCCCCGAGAAATGTAACATTGTTTGAGTATATAAATATGGGTATATATATATATATATATATATATATATATATATATATATATATATATATCATTCTACGGTGTATTGATTCACTTGATGATGATATAAGCGTACCTTAGTTTGATGGGAATGTGTGTGTGAATACAAATATATGTAAATACATATATATATATATATATATATATATATACATATATATATATATGTGTGTGTGTGTGTGTGTGTGATTGGAATTTGGATTGAAAGAAATAGGTCAAGTTCTGATGCAGAGCATTCTTGCTGTAGCGAGATAATTCTCGCTGTAGCGAGAGGTCCCTGGGAGAAAGGGATGCAACTGTCGCCTTCTCGCTGTAGCGACAAAGCGACAGTTTAGGGTGCATTTCTGGGTGCAGTCTCGCTGTAGCGAGAGAGTCTCACTGTAGCGAGATTCTCCAAAAACCAGACTGCATTTTTCTCTGATTTTTTCGCTGTAGTAAGAGGGTGTGTCGCTGTAGCAAGGGTTCACTGCAACCAGAGGAGGTCCCTTCGCTATTCTCGCTGTAGCGAGAGTGTCGTGACCAAAGGGGTATTTGAAGGGTTAGGGTTCGAGGGGAGGGTTATTTTTCATGATTTCCCTCTCTCTCCTTCACGATTCTCTCTACCCAAACCCATTCCTACCAATTAAAAGCCCTCCAAGGACGTTTGGAAGCTTGATTGAAGGTTGGAAATACATTTGGAGTCTTTGGGGGGATGAAATCCGTGTGGGGAGGCGATTCCATCAACGTTTCATGGTTGGTCTTTGTTTTTGAGGTAAGGGGAGTACTTTACTCTAGTTATCTTTGTTAAGAATGAGTTTATTTGAATGAATATAGTAATGTGATAGAAATAGGAGACGAGGTTATGTGTATTGATGAATTGTACGAATTGGGCTGAGTCCAGAGGTGTCCGACCTCTGGCATATTGTTTGAAATTGAGTGATGTGATTGTGTTGGTTGCCATTGGATGCAAAGAAATGATGTGTGTATGATAGAAATGTGATTTTGAATATGTTGAGCATAATGTGTGACGATTGTGATGAAATGGTTGGTTGCAATATGAATGAAATTGTGTTGACGTGCCCTTGATTGCAATTTGAATAATGTGAATGGTTGGAAATGAGTGAGGATGGCATGTTGAATGAATGATGATGTGTTTGGGTGTTGAATCTATGAATGGTTCAGAGATACACTGGGGTGTGGAAGATAGGGGCGGTAGTAATACCTTGGGGAAGAGATGGTAGTGGTGACACCAACAGTGAGCGTGGGTGCACCACAGGCCACACACTCGCTTCCTGACTCGGCCTCTGACTGACACCTTTGTCTGGGGGCTCAATACCGCACATGTTGTATCCGTGGAGCAGGAGCTATTCAGGCGACCATTCATGGTATAACTGAGTAAGTCCCTGAGGTTGAGGGCATCAGGAATTTGTGATCACATTGCCGCAGGGAGGGTGGCTACGTGCAGGGAGTGCACGTGTGATTGTGTGTCTGTGTGGATTAGTTGTTGGTGCAGTGAGCGCACCTGCCTGTGATTGTTGTTGTGTGCCTTGAGTGAGATAGTTCAAGTGAGTCTTATGCTTGTTTGTGTGCTTATGCTAGAGTAGAGGACTCACCCTTACGCTTATTTTTTAGGTAACCAAGACGATCAGACCAAGCCCCATGAAGGAAGGATGGATGACACTGCTATAGGACTTAGAAGTTTATTTTGAAAATTTAATGTATATTTGAGTCCTGTAGCAAGCTATGAAACGAACTTGTAATCATTTTCTATTAAGAACCATTTTATGAAATTGAGTTTTTGAACTACTGTTTGAATGAAAACCTCTATTTTGTTAACATTTTTACGAAATTCATTTTATTTAGAAATTATAATTATAAGGTGTTACATTCCTTATCTAGCAAGATTGAAGAAAGACAAGGATGATGAACAATTTAGTAAATTTCTTTCCTTATTTCGTCAACTTCATATTAATTTACCGTTTGTTGATGCTTTGGCACAGATGCCCAAGTATGTCAAATTTCTGAAGGATCTATTGTCCAACAAGAAGAAGTTGGAGGAGTTAGCCACGGTAACTCAATGAAGAATGTTCAGCAATTCTACAAAACAAGATGTCCAAGAAATTGAAGGATCTAGGGAGTTTTACTCTTCCTTGTCTCATTAGTAGATTGATAATTGATAGGGCTTTGGCTGATTTAGGTGCTAGCATTAATTTGATGCCATATTCTGTCTTTAAGAAATTGGGTTTGGGGGAACCTAGACCAACTAGGATAAGTATTCAAGTAGCTGATAGGTTAATTAAATATCCTAGGGGTATCATTGAAGATGTGCTTGTAAAAGTGGACAAATTTTTTTTTTCTGTTGATTTTGTGATTCTTGATATGGATGAGGACACTGATGTCCCCTTGATCTTAGGTCGTCCATTTTTAGCTACTGCAAGGGCTATAATTGATGTGAGTGATGGAACGTTAATTTTGAGAGTTGGAGATAGAAAAGTCACTTTCAAAATTGCTGATGTGATGAAAAAGTCTTTGAAACAAGATGATTCTTGCTACTTTATTAATGTAATTGATGATTATGTTTCTGATTGTGCACAGGGATTCTTGATTTCAAACCCATTGAAAAGAAGCTTAGTTCATGAAGGAGGAAAAGATGGTATGAGCGTGCTAACTCAAGAACAGTGGTGTCATTTAGAAGCCACTAAGCCATTATGGAGAAAAAGGGACTTCAAAGTTTTGGAGTAGAAATTAAAGAAGCAACCCAACTCATCCATTAATGAACCACCAGATGAAAAATTAAAGGTCTACCACGATAAAAAAAATCAAGGAAGGTAAACTATTTCAAAAAGGTGATTTAGCACTATTGTACAACTCTTACCTCAAATTATTCTCAGATAAACTCAAATCCTGTTGGTTTGGACCGTTTACTGTGCATAAGGTATTTCCTTGTGGGATAATTAAATTAACTCATCCAAAAAAAATAAATTTTAAGGTGAATGGACATATGCTGAAACTGTATCAGGGGGTCAACTACAAACTTTTGCAAATGAGGAGTTTAAACTCCTCCATGTTGAATGTTGAATTACATTGAATAGTTTAGGTTAGGTAGGTTTAGTTTATTTTAATTTAGTTATTTATTTGCTCATTTATTTATATTTTGAATAAGCGTCCTCACCCCCAGCATGAACCTCATCTCCTTCTGACCACTTTCTTAGTACAGATGATGAAGACTCAGATGATGCTAGTGCAGCAGTTTAGTCTGCAATTAGGATAGTCTTAGTTGTTGGATTTCTTTTACTTATGTTATTTTTAGAATTTAAATTGCTCCTATTTCTTTATTGCTTTTGTTTCTTTATTGCGTTATTTTGATTGTTCCTCTCCTTTTGTCATTTTGAACTGAGATGATTTTCCTATAAATTCACTTTGGTCAGGTTTCTTCTTCATTTGAATCTCAGATTAGCTGTGACTCCCACCACTCTTTGCTTATTTCTATTGTTTTTCAGGGAAGTTTCAGTTTACACTTTAATTCTTATATTTGATTGAGGACAATGCAAATCTTACAGTGTGAGGTGGATACTTATAAATGTCTGAACTGGATTTTTATTTTGTTCTCGAGCAAATATTGAGTAAGTTTTGCCTTTGTATTAGAGATGATATTCCTGGATAGTTTATATAAATAAAATGTTTTGTTGAAAAAAAAATTCATATGCAGTTATTTTAATTATTTGAATTGTGTTTTTAATTGTTTCTCGACTGAAGTATCAGAAGACTTTTCTAATTTGAGGACCTTGAATCTATGCCAAATGTTTAAGAATATATGCAATTAATAGAATAATTAATATCTGAAAAAAAAATTGGGGCTCTATTCAAAAATAAAAGAGCATGCCATAGAAGCATATCTAGTTGAATGTGGATTGCAGGCAATGTCCAGATACCACATCCTAGAACCCCGAAATTGTTTGAGGTACCGATGTGGAAAGCAAAGGATGGAATTTCCATTAATACCTTGTGCTAATTGGGATGGAGCATAAGATGCACCCTGTTAGTCGATCATGGCTCAAAGTGAAGAAAATTAAATAACACCTTGTGGAAGAATTCAAAGTTTTGACTGTGATTTTTAAGAACTAATGGCATAAAGGTCCTTATTCAGTTCTGTTTGAAGTTACAAAAGTTAGGAGCAAAAGATGGCACAATTTGATGTTTAAGAATTATTGTCCCTCTAAAAATTTGAAAAAAATAAAATAAAATAACAATAATAAAAATTCAGGAATTTGATTCTTTGTTGTCAAAGGTAAATTTGACCCATTTCTTTGCTTGGGGACAAGCAATCGTTCAAGTTCGGAGGAATTTGATAAATGCTTTCTATACTTGGTCCTACATTGTAATTCATGAATGATAATTGAGATTTTTGAGCTATTCATTGAGAGAATTTATTATTAAGTGTATTTTATTCATATTTCAGGAAAAAGGATCAAAAAGTGAGAGCTTAAAGGATATTAGGAATTGAAGCAAGAAAAGAACCAGAGATATACACAGGCAAGTACATGGCCGTGTACATGAACGTGTATCTCACTGGTTGCATAAATCAAGTGCATAATCAAAACAGAGATATACATGGGCAAGTACACGCCTGTGTATATGAGCGTGTATCTAACTGGTCGCATCATTGAAGTGCATCTTCAAAACTATAGATGTACACGATTAAAACGTTGAGTTTTCCTCTAGATATCACGAAGAACTAAGTCTCAAAAACTTGTTTCCAGGTAAGGGGATTTGATTCCAAACCCAATATTTACATTTATATTTTGATTTGAAACACCCAACTATTTTATTCTAACTAACAAATCTATAAAGTTTTCTTGAAACTGAAATATTGAAAATGGATTTTTGGCATGAAAGAGCTTAGGTTTGTT